TTCTTGCACCTACAAATATCTAGAAGTAGATATGGGGGGATAAATCTCAATTAGGCCTGGTGTTTAAAATAAAACATAATCCCACAAGAAAGCACAATCTCATTTGAATCCAGGAGTTCACAAGATGTTTTTTGTGTATCCTTTGTATGTTAAATGTATGTTAAAACTGTCCTTCGGAAGGATATTTGAAGCAAATATTTAGTTTAAATTTATACCAGATCAATATGAGTTCTTGAATATTTGCTAGGTGTACATTTTCCAAATCCTTCCGGGTCTTCCTATGATTAGATTACAAATAATGAATATTTTCTATGAGCTGATCCTCCATCTATGGACTTGGATAACATTGGAAAAGTCTATTATATACACTTTATTATATTTTAGCATACATTATAATTGAACAATAGTAAAGGTCTCCTAATAATTTTGTAATTGAAAAACATTTGCAATATACTTTAGGGTCAAAGATTTATAATAACATATTTACCAAACCTAATGAATTTATATTAATAACTCTAGAAGTATAATCAAGACATTTACTATGGAAGAATGGTTATTTCTTTAATAAATATTGATCTCATTTTTAATTCCTTGTATTATATTTTTCTTATATCTTCTTAAAATGCTTATAAAACCATAGTAGATATTTTTCTAATTCATATTATGAGTACAAATCTATTTTAAAGTTATTTAGATAAACTTGCCTGGATTAAATTGCAATTATATTACACAAAAAGAATCAGTCACAGTATCTTAGATTCACAACCAGAACTGGAAATTGTGCTCATCAAATGCTGTACACCAGTTTCTATCAGCCCCAAATTTATCATGATGAGAATTCTAATCTTACGTTTGATGGTCTACAGGTTTCCCAGATCCAATCTATTTACTTAATATTTAGTGTTTACTTAATCATCATTATTGTCATCACCATCATCATCTTAAAATGCAATTGACTAAGCATACAATAGATACCAATTGACAATGCAATGTTAGTCGACCATATATTTTTATACACAAACATTATATGTGTATATTTGTTACTGGTAATGATAGTTCACATTAGAGTATACAAGACCCTGACATTAAGCATGTCTTTGGCACCTAAAACAACTAAAACAGTTCCTGTCTCTGTATATTGTACAGTTCTGTCTTCCTGCAGATTGCAAAAATGTGTTACTGAAATGGTGGTTGTGGTGATCTAAAATAAATAAATAAAACATTCCAAACAGACATCAGTGATTAGGACATATTGCAGATCACTCATCCCAATGTATTTCCAAGGATTCTCAAATTCCCTATTCTATATTTTGTAGCTGGAACTCAAACTTTCTCTAGCATAATGATTACCAAGTTTTAATTACATTTAGGGGTCATGTATCCTCATCACTCCAAAGACAAACTGCCAAGAGGGAGAGATTTACTACCAACCAATGATATTTTTTATGTAAATGTACTTGACTAAGTGCAATAACCCTAAATTCTAATAGAGACTTTCAATCTCTTGCCAGGTCTGCAATACTTATATGTGGCTAAGATGAATTGAGTATTTACAAAACAGTTCCATTATAGAGGAACAATCCTCCATGTGTAAATCACTATTTCCAATCATAGTACTACTAGGTTCCTTTTCACCTCTGCCCTTGTTTATTTTCTTTGATTTATATTCGTAGAAAAAATGTTTAAATGTAGTATTCTATTTAACGGTGCATTGGTCCAATATTGCTTTTTGTCACAGACTTCTAAAAAGCTCTTGGGTTTCTTAAATATTTTATCACCATCTTGAGCATATAATAAGAATGGGACACTGCAAAGACACACAAAGGGTTATTTAGATTTCAGTTTATCTTTTTAATTGCTCAAACAGCCTGAGCAGGAGAAATGAAAGAAAAATCCTCATGGTGACTTTATTGTTCTCTCTGTTGTAGATACATTTTATGAATAAGGGCAAAGGGTCAGGTGCCCCTTTACATGCTATTTGCAAGTGCCTGACATCAGCAATCACTGTGTGAGCAGCTTTGTTTATCTATAACACTAATCTGAAGAGATGTGTGAAGTACTTTGGCTTGGGAAAGAGGGCAGAGCAGCGTGGTGCTATGCAAACATTCCCACATAGTCCCTGATAGGTCATTCACACAGAAAACAAGGGGAAGTTTTCATGTCATGGACAAGCTTCAATATAGAGCCAACAGACTGTCAAGAACCTGGGGAGATAGAAAATCATAATAGAGAATGGGTATAAAAGTATCTGGACTGAATCATTGTTATTACAATTTACCAATGATGTTACTTATACAATAAATGTAGATCGGAGGGGGGGAGGAAGGAAGGAAGGAAGGAAGGAAGGAAGGAAGGAGGAAGGAAGGAAGGAAGGAAGGAAGGAAGGAAGGAAGGAAGGAAATGGGTCTTACATATCTGGAAAAATCAGTCAGGGCAGTTCTAAGAAAATGGTAATTTCAATTTATTCCTCATTAATCAGATCTAGATTAATATTTTATATGCAGGGTTCTGCCAGCTATTTATTTATGTAATTTATTTCTTTTTTAGGAAATTTTTGAGATCAGTACTTTTTAATAAAGTATAATATTTTTGTTTTATATTTGTTGTGTTATGGTATTCGAATGTTTATCACCTATCTGTAACTGAAACAGCAGTAAGGAAATAATAAATAAATAAAATTATATAATAAATCCACAGAATTGCATAACCATCAGAGATAGTATGGAATAGGTAGCGTTAATTACCAGTGTAGTCTCTAAAAATCCTCTGGAAAAGAATGGTCTTGAAACATTTCATGAATGAAAGCAAGGAGGATGCCATCCTATCCTCAGAGAAAGAATGTTCTAGAAATAGCCTCCATATGACCATACCTTGAACGATCTGGAAGAGTAGGACTATGGATTACTTGGTGCTCTCTGAGCTTGGTTGTTTGCTTGCAAATGTTTCATTACCTAACTAGATAATATTGGTGATAGGAACCAGAAGCACATTCTCAGGAAAAGTACAAAGAATATGAAGAATCTATTTAGAGAACATGTCCCACAGGAAATAAATACCTGAGCCAAAAAGAGCTTTTTAGATAATGACCAGAACTTTGAATTGAATTAAATAATAATTGTAATTTTGAATTTACCTATAGCCTACTGTGATGCAGCAGCCATAGAATATGTATTGGTCTACTAAACTGGGAACAATCCATCAGCAAGTAGGCAACTGCATTTTAGACCAATTATAGTTTCAAAAGCAGTCCCTAGTGCAATAAAGCAGTTATTCGTTTATTCATAGATTAGATTAGATTAGATTAGATTAGATTAGATTAGATTAGATGGATGTCAAGACATCTTGTTTCAGAAACAGCATCATTTGGGGCACCATAAAAGGTGATCAAAGATTTACATGAGGACTAGCAAGTGCAAAAGGACCTCTGTATTTCAGACACACAATTTAAGGAGGAGTGCTACCCCCAATGATGGCTGGTACATCAGATACAGATGACTTTTTCTTGTAGGTACTTGCAGAGATTTAATCTGTGAAATCAAGATTTTGTATTGGGATTACCACTTCTCATATCAGTTTTTTTCTATACTTAATCATAAAGATGATTATAGATGAGAAACAAGTATTTAGTTATTTTTTTAATATCGTTTGGAGAATATTTTCTAAGAAAATTTATATTAAAAACCAATCTATGAAACATGAATTTTAAGCAAAAACTAGTTATGAACATGAAATAAAATGTTTTTGTTCCTTATCCATCTGTTCTTGGCAACAAGTTTAAGCAAAAGTAGAGTAACAAAAAGTGTGTCTGTCTGTTTTAAGTTACTACTTTTTAAGATTTGGTGATCATATATCTGATTTTATGCATCAATTTAATTACACAGCCTAAATTCATGTCATTCTAAAATGTGGCTGGTTAGTCTTAATTTAATAAATCATGCCAAAACACTTTTTCAGAAATAATATAAGCGTTCAGTCTAATGCTCCAATCTTATGTGAGGTTACATAAGAGTAAGTCTTGCTTAACTCAGTGTAATTTATTTCTGAGTAGTTAAAAATAAAGTTTTAAAATTTTACATTAAAGCTATTTTTGTTAAAAAAAACTGAAGCCCATTGGATGTAATCCTTATTAAAGATACTTGGGTATGCAATTTACCTATAAATTCAGTGAATTCTTTTAAATAAGTATGAGTAGGATTTAGCTACAATAGTATGTTTCAGTTTCTTGGGTAGGCACTTCTTATGCAGAGTGCCTTGTTAATTGAAATATACTAAAGTATTTTCAATAAATAGATGAACAGAGAGTGATATATCACCCTCCCCTGATATAATGTACTTAACTTAGAGCACAATACTGTTTACATTCTCATTACATATACACTGAGAATTATTTAAAATCCATCTATTAACCATATCTGTTATGGCTTGATTCTGATTTGAAATTTTGATTAATAAATGGATATCAAAACTCAGTCACAACATATTAGGAAAGTGAAGGAACAATAATTCAGAGTTAAGACAATGCAACTGACAGTTACACATGGAACATGTTCATTCTCAGCTTTACATAAAAATGCTTTTTCTTCTAGTTCAGGTGACTTTTTAAATTTTAACGCTTTGACTTTTTTGTAGTCTGAACACATGCTTTGCTTATTGTGACTCTGATTATATTTGTGGAAAGATAGCAATGCAAAGATTGTAGTATTTTTTTAATATTGACCCAAGAAAATAACTTCGTTGAAATCAGTTTTACTTCTATTTTAGTTGTGACCAAGTCTATTCTCTCAAATGACATGCTAGGTATTCTTTCCAAGACCAAATGCTCCTCATTCCAATATAGATGCTGTTACTCAGAAATGATAATATTTTGCCAATAACTGTCGATTGGTTTCTACTTGATTAGTATCAATATTTATTGAGAAGAGTGGAAGAATAAGACAAAAGGGTGCTGTTTGTATTGCTTCCTCCACAATTTTCAGTAGAGCTGTGCATTTTATTTTCAGACCTAAGTGATCAGTTGATAGAAGTGGTTGGCCTGGAAGGAGCCATGGAAATGGGACAAATATATACTGGACTGAAAAGTGCAGGAAGACGCCTTTCTCAGTGTTCTTCTGTTGTCATTAGGTAAGAATCAACTTTTCCCCTGAAAAAAAATTATTTGCCTTTATCAACCAAAAACTAGAACAGGTGTAATCCAGCTTTACAAACTACAAATAACTTATAGAACTCAGAATCATACTTAATAGTTTGGATGCTTTTAAATAAGGTTTTAAGGAAATCATGGAAGATACTGTCAATGGTTGGTTTTGACAGATCGTAATCAGTTATTAGTTGAATAATTCAATTGTAGTAAGCTCAGAACTAAGAATAAATAAAATACAGAAAAGCTAATGGGAAAAGAAACACAAGACAGGTGGAAGTGTCTAAAAGGATTAAACAGTCCCAGTGAGTAAAACAAAAAACAAAAACAAATGGAGGACATCAGAAGAAGCAGTATGACTGCACAAAAAGGTTAGTGAAAATAGAAAAATAAAAAGTTGCACAAGTCACCAAAGAAAAAATGATACAAGTATTTATAGTTTGTTTAGGTAATATCAGAAAACTTATATCTGAATGGTATTAAATTAACAAAAATGCAAAGAAAAACGAACAGTACAACTTCTAATTGTGTTTAAAATAAAAATAAGAGAAAACAATATAGAGTAGCAGCTCTAAAGATGGCAAAAAAAGTAATAGATAATAAGAAAAAGCAACATTGCTTTAAACACAACATAATCTGGTATATCTCAGAGTACATTTTCTGATTTAGTAGTTTCTTTACTACCAAGTAGATTGTTGGGGTGCTAAGACATGATATACCTAGATTTCAAATATGATTTTTAAATATGGTACATATGGCATATCTAAAACTCCACAGCAGGAATCTTGCTGAAGAATGGCATCAAGATGGGTACCAGAAAAGTCACTACTTGGCTTTATACTCTTCCAGATTTTTCTCAATAATTGCATTAAATGAATGAATGGATTTGATTTGCAAGCTAAAGGGAATCCTAAAGCTTCAGAAAGGGATGCCAACAGGCACCATAAAGCATTAGAAAAGCAGATAGATAAGTGTACATGGGAGGCGCACAGGGCCTCACAAGACTTTCCCTCTCCAAGTCCAGGTCTGTCCACCCCTTCCCACCCTCCTCCTCCCCTAGATCTCTCCCTCTCATCCAGGCGCAGCTTGGCTCCCCAGAGCCAACAGGCCCAGTTTCCTGGAACACCGACCATGTGAAGGGCTCCCGAAGCTACATTCACTCCAACAGCTACCAGTCTTCGACAGGATGACATTCTTCCAGAGGAAGTTCCAGAGAGGATGAAGGCCTGGATGGAGCTAGCAATCCGCCAGGGAATCGCAGCAGTTCTTCAACACACAGTTCTGACCAGGGAACATCCTGTAACCGCTGATTATGATTCCCAATCATTGAGGTCATTGACCAGGTCAGAGCAACACTATACCCAGGTACATTTACAAGAGGAAGCGTCCCTCCAAGGCTGACTGAGGAGGTGGTGGTGGAGGAGGAGGAGGAGGAGGAAGAAGAAGTGGATCAAATTGATCAAATGGAACAGATTGAATCAGAATCAATACATGACAGGGAGCCCCTGTCGGAAGCCGACCCCTTAGAAAGGGGGATGTCTGAGGATGAGGGCTTTGTTCCCAATCAACCTGTATTTACAGGCTTATTCCATCCACAACTTTTCAGATCTCTCTTGTTTAAGGCAAAAAACATTGCGTGCCTGAACAAATCGACCCCTTCTCTAACTCCTTCAGAAGAGGGACCAGATCTAATTTTCAACCAACCAGTAGTCGAGGCAGATGTGATCCCAGTTACTCACATGTTTTCGGACCTGGTACAGAAACAGTGGGCATCTGCAGCGGTGTACCCTGCCCCCACGGGATATGACAGGAAATATTTTAATTTGGCCCCTGATTTCTCAAAATTGTTGAATACTCCTGAGGTAGACGAACCTATAGTGGGATTAGCGTCCTCGTCCTCCATTCC